CCTCCTCTTCCTCCTCCCTCCCCCTCCTCCTCCTCCTTCTCCCCCTCTTCTTCCTCCTCTTCCTCCTCCTCCTCCTCCTGAGGTCATTTCAATAAACATTCTTTTAGATGATCAGATGCACATGGGCTTCGCGCCTTTGGTTCCTCCCCTAAGTATCCTCTTTCGGTCTCACTGTGTTTGCGTGTTAGAGTCCTGTATAATTTATCATGTTATATATTATGAAGGAAAATGTGTCGTTTGTCTCTGAGCTTGGCTTACCTCATTTAACATGATTTGTTGTAGGTCCATCCATTTCCCTGAAAATAATAACATTGTTCTTCCTAATCGCCGTGTAAAACTTCATTGTATATAGATAGGTACCACATTTGAGGGAGGGGGGAGTCCCCTCATCTATGCTAGGGCATCTGGGTTGTTTCCACAATTTGGCTATCGTGCAGCAATGAACGTGGGTGTGCAGGTGTCTTTAAGTGTCCTGGGACACTAGACTCTTGATATCAAGGGAATAAACAGGTGCTAAGTGCTGTCTCTGGGGGCCCACACTAAGTCAGGATGAGGCCCTCCTGAGACCTGGCCCTGCGTCCTCTCCACACGGCCCCACACCATAAAGAGCCATCACTGTCACATACCCCGGAATCCATGGGAAGGAAGGCCTGCGCCATGGTCTCAAGTTCTACAGTGCCAAAAGTGGGTGGCCAGTGCTGAGAGACCCCAACAACACACACCCACAGGTGGGTGCCACCGGGGTCATTCAGCCAAGAGGGCAGGGATTGAGGAGGTCAAGGCAGCAAACTGTACCTCCTGCAGAGGATGGCCAATTGAACACTGCTGGGGCAGGCAGGGGGGGGGGGAGCCGTCAATCCTGGCCAAGGAGCTGAGCAGAAGATTGAAGAGGTGAGCGCCCCAGTTGTGGGAGGAAATGCAGGTGGGGAGGAAGACGGCCCTGAGCTGTAATGCCCACGTAAGGAGATTACACTGGAGCTCCGTGCTGGAACCTTCACCCCACAGCCGTGACCTTCTCCTTTTCCACCCATCCCTTGCAAGTGTGGACTCTGCGAAAGGTAGGTGCGCAGCAGGCTTTCTGGAATGCACAGCAAAGTGGCCACAGGGGGCATAGAAGCAGGGGAGCGGAGGGCGGGCCTTCCTGTGTGCAGGGAACAGGGGGAGGGTTTGGTTGGTAATCCAAGTATTCTACTGTTATTCCCCCCCCTCCCCGCCCCCAACTCCTCCCCACACAAGTTGCATGGACTTTATTTTGAAATAATGAAAAGGTGGTAGGAGATGAAGGATTTTATGATTTGGGGTTTTGTTTGTTTTTCCCCCAAAAGGCAAGATTTTACTTCTGCAGAAGTAAAATTACTTACTATACAAGTAAGCAATGATTTTTTTTTTTTTTAAGGAGCTCAGTCAGTAGCCCAGGCTGGCTTCCAGTTTGCCATCCTCCTGCCTCCACTTCCCAAGTACTGGGATTACAGGAGTGCACCTGAATAGGTGTTTGTAAACTAGTTTAGTATGATGCCTATGTCAGATTACTTCATCAGCCCATACATTACATGACAAGCACAGCCAATGGAGCAGGAAGAGGCTTGCAGACACATTGAACATGCTTTCCTTCACAGCCAGCCTCTGGGTACCCAGTGAGTGCTCAGTTTCCCCTCTGTCTGGCTTCCAGGAACCTACTTCCTCCAAGAGTAGCTGGGCCCACACTGGATGCTCCATGAAAATGGAATCCAATGACTTGGGCTTTGCTCTGACTCTGCTCCTAGCGTAATTCCCAGGTTCATTCCTGCCGTAGCCTGGATCCCAAGTTCCCTCTGCATTCGTAGGGAACAAGGCTACTGCAGGGATTTACCCCGGCTTGCTTTCCTTTCTGGTTTTTAGCTAGCAGCACTGTTTCACACCCTTGTGTGTTGAAGTTGTTAAGCCTCGAAGGGGACTGCTACTCCTAGAATAGCAGTTCTATATTCAACTGAGTTTTGTTTGTTTGTTTGCAGCCCTGGGAATTGCTTCATGCTTTGCTAAACGTGTGCTTGGCTCTGCTACTTAAACCACACACCTCCAGCTTCTTTTTTTGCCTTTGGTTATTTTCAAGGTAGGGTGTCACGTATGCCCCAATCTACCCCCACTGGGATCCTCCTACCTTGTATCTTCCTGTGTCAGTGGGAAACATAGCCACCAGCCACTGAGTCTAGATTGTACTTCCCCTGTAGCTGAAATAGCAGATGTGCACCACCACGCCATTGGTTAAAATGGAGTCTCTATCTCTCTTTATCTCTCTCTTCTGTCTCTCTGCCTGGGCTGGCTTCAAATCTCAATCTACCAATCTCTGCCTTGAGAGGCTTGGTTACAGGCTTGAGTCTCTGTGCTGCCAGGCTTTCTTTTGACAGTTGCATGGAGCATAAAAGGCAACTTCATGTTGTATTTCTACACTTTTAAGTGACTTAATGAAGCATCATTATGTGTGTGTGTGTGTTTGCGCGCACACACACACACACACACACGTGCATGCCAATGCTAGGCTTGAACTCAGTGACTGGGCACTATCTCCGAGCTTTTTTGCTCAAGGCTAGCACTCTATCACTTGAGCCACAGCTCAATTAATTGGGGATAAGAGTCTCCCAGATTTTCTTGCCTAGGCTGACTTCAAACCATGCTCCTCGGATCTCAGTCTCCTATCCTGAGTAGCTAGGATTACAGCATTTAGCCTGAAGCATTATTTTTTTAAAAAGTAAAATTTGCAAGTGCCTTTGATTGCTATCCATACAGAAAGCTGGCTTAGTAAAGCTTTAGGATAATCCATAATACAGAATAATACGAAACCACTACCAAACTAACAATGTGGATCCATAAGTATTCACAGAATAAGTAGGGGGAAAAATTAAGTAGCTATAAAGCCTCAACTGCATAATTGCTAAAGCTTTATCTATGTGTTTATATCAGAATATCCTCTTTTCCTGTGGGAATTGGGGCGGATGGTAGGACTTTGAATTTTCTCATCTTTGGTTCTGATTCTTTCATAGCTAAACATGTCTTTTCTTTGCTAAGATTTAAGCCATAGGTTGAGTGAGGTAAGTCAAGGAAATTTTGTGTTTAGCATAAGTTATTTGAGGAAGACTTTAAAGACTTGTTAAAATGTTTGTCTTGTGGATCCACCATCTTGGTGGATGGACAATTCAAATACACTAAGATTAAATCTAGCTCATGGTATAAATACAAAGTCAGAAACATCAAGCTAGGTCTAGCACCTTGGCTCAACTGGTAAAATACCTGCAAGTGCAGGGCCGTGAGTTCAATCCCCAGCAGTTATCACACACAGAAAAGTGTGTTGTTGTTGTTGTTTCTAAGACTATGCAATGACTGTGAAGATCATATATTAGGCTCAAAACTAAAATTCAAAATGGTTTGTGACATATATAGTTTTCTGCTGTTGTTTTGGTGGTATTGGGGCTTGAACTCGGGGTCCCGAGCTTGCTTGGCTTGCTTGTTCATGGCTGGTGCTCTACCCCTTGAGCCATGCCTCCAGCATGACCTTTTGATGATTTTGGAGATGGAGTCTCGCAGACTTTGGGGCCCTTGGAAGAGAACTTCAAGTGCCCAGAGGTCAGTTCGTGGGTGTGAGGCACACAGTAGTGCCTGCTTTACTTTCTTCCTGTCCCTTGCTTCCAAGATTTTATACTGCACATTCTAAGTCCCTCTTAGGATCTGAAACATTTGCAACCCAAACTGACAAGCAAAACACTGTCCAGCCAGATTTGGAAGGTTAGTTGTTTTTTTTTTTTTTCCATTTTTCTCTTCTTTATGTCCCTTCATTTCTAATGTCCTCCCATTCCTTCCCACTTGGTCCCTGGGGGGCACTTTCCTGTCTCCTCTCTGTGTATCTTTGTCTCTGTCTGTCTCTCTCTGTGTGTCTCTCTGTGTCTGTCTGTCTGTCTGTCTCTCTCTCTCTCTCTCTCTCTCTGTCTCTGTCTGTCTGTCTCTCTGTCTCTGTGTGTGTGTCTCTCTCTCTGACCTACTTCTGTAAGCTCAAATGCTGAACTAATCCCCTTCAGTTCCCTGCTCTAAACCACAAGGCCCAGCGGGCTAAGGCCATTTATGACCGGGCGACCTCAGCTTGCCCTTCAAGCTGCTCCCGGACAGTGCAGCAGCGGTGAGGCCCAGCGTGGACCCGGCCCCGGGCGCTCCTGCCACACACTGGTGGGCACACTGTTCTGTCACTCAGCCTTCGCAGCAAACCTGAGCAGCTCCCCGATCACACCCTACAGACAGACACCCTACATCAGGACTCCGGCTCCACCAGCCTGGAACCCAATCCCTGGGCCTGTGATGGCAGCCACACAGAGTGTGGGAGCCTGGGGCCGTGGCTCTCGGTAATAGCGGGCTCCTTTGTGATCTCTGGTCTCTGGGGACAGTCCTCTGTCCCTTTGTCACTCTCAGGTCTCAGGCACTGTGCTGTGCCCCACACGAGGCTCTAGATCTGTCCAGCGCACAAGCTCCCGCAGCTCCGTGATGGCCTCTGCCTAGAAGAGACACCCCCTCTCCCAGATGTCCCCAAAGTCACCTCCTCCCACAGGGCAGCCCCCCCACATGCGCCTCTCATGAAATGTTCAGGCCACTGACCGCAAAATCTCTCTGCTCAGGAGGTCATTTGTTTACATTTTGTTCTTTCTTTCTTTCTTTTTGTTGGTCCTGGGGCCTGAACTCTGGGCCTGGATTCTGTCTCTCAGCTCTTCAGCTCAAGGTGAGCGCTCTACCACTTGAGCCACAGCGCCACTTCTGGCTTTTTCTGTTTCTGGGGTGTTGAGGAATTGAACCCAGGGCCTCATGCCTGCAAGACAAGCGCTCTACCACTGAGCCACCTTCCCAGCGCATTTGTTTAAACCTTAAGGTGGCTTCGTCTTTGGGGTCTATATTTAAATATATTTATATATGTATATAATTGTTCGGTGCTGGTACTCGTGCTCTCACTCAACTTGCTTACGGCTAGCACTCCATCACTCCATCACGCTTCCAGTTCCAATTGAAGAAGGCGTCTTGGAGACTTTTCTGCCCAGACTGGCTTCAAACTGTGATCCTCCAGATCTCAGCCTCCCGAGAAGCTAGAATTATAGGTGTGTGCCACCAGCGCCCAGCTTCAGAACTCCCCCCCCCCTTTAATCTTTAAGTAGTTTTACAAAGGGGTTAGAACATGGATTAAACCCACAGGACTGACAGGCTGCTCCCTGCCTTGCCCCGCCCCCTGGTCTTCCAGCCCCATCAATGGACCACAAACTGTCTCCATCCCCCCTCCCCCAAGAACTCTATCATCTCTCCCCTCCCCTTCCCCATCACCAATCCCAGTTCCTTCTCCTTCCTCAGCAGGGGCCACGGCCTCACCACATTGCCTGAATCAGGGCCCCCATCACATCTTGTCACAATCTTTCCCCATTGCTACTGTTGCCACTCACAGGCCTCGTGCCTTGCTGGTTTACCTCACTATATGTCTGACCTTGGGCTAAGGGCATGTTTTGCAAGATCTCTTATAATTCCCCCTAACAACCGGGTAAAGGCTGACTTTAAGATCTCCACTTGACAGATGATCAAACAAAGCTTCAGAGTCTCTCCACCGAGAGTCTAGGATCTGGGCTGCCAGAGCCTGCACTTTTCGCCACGAGGTGGCGCTGTTCTCCCAACTCTTTGGGGATGGGGCTTTTCAATTCTCTGACTTTTGTCTTCACTGCAGCAGTGCACTCAGAAGGGAAGGCCTTGGAAATTTTTCAACTATAGTATCCATTACCACAGTGTTTTCCATTGTGGAAACCCCACAGAACTGACCCCAGGCTACAAAGATTGATTATAAATAAGGATGTCTGTCCGCTGCCAAAACCCAGTTAAACCTATTCCAGTTTCTTGTTGACTAATCTAGCACATTGTAATAAATCAAAGGTCAGAAATGAATCACATCTGCTTCATCCTATACCACAACAGAAAGAAGAGAAACACCTGCTTAGAAAGAGTGAGGCCCTGAGTTCAAATAGTACAAAAAAAAGGGGGAGACCAGCTGGATAAAAAGTTAATGAGAACTTCAGAGACTCCATCCCAATGAATATGTTGGGCTTGGTAGAGTATGCCTATCACCCCAGAGGATCTTGATCCAGGCTGACCTGGACACAAACATGACACCTTACTTGAAAAATAAGGAAAGCAAAAAGGAGTTGGAGTGTGACTCAAGTGGTAGAGTGCCTTCCAAGCAGGTATGAGGTCCTGAGATCATAACTCATTATGGGGAAGGAAAGGAAGGAAGGAAGAAAAAGGAAGGACAGATGGATGGACTGGCTTGTCTCAGTTCTCCTTTCTTTTTCTTTCAGCTTCATCTTGGGTCAGAGATGTGCGATCAGACCTTTCTAGTTAATGTGTTTGGCTCCTGTGACAAATGTTTCAAGCAGAGGGCCCTGAGACCTGTTTTCAAGAAATCTCAGCAACTCAACTACTGTTCAACATGCGCAGAAATTGTAAGTACCACTTTAAAAACATTTGAAGTTGCCTGTCTTAAACCAATATGTAAGGGAAGTCTTTTTAACCCCCAGAGCTGTTCTGCTCAAGGCTAGTGCTCAACCACTCTGAGCCACGGCTCCACTTCCAGTTTCTGGTAGTTAATTGGGGATGAGAGACTCACACTTTCCTGCTCAGGCTGGCTTTGATCCATGATCCTCAGATCTCAGCCTCCTGAGTAGCTAGGCTCACTGGCGTGAGTCACCAATGCCCGGCTTAACTTTTTAGGAACTAAAATTAAATTCTAGCAGTTTATTTTCCAAAATACTCACTATAGGACTGGGCACCAGTGGCTCACGCCTGTAATCCTCACTACTCAGGAGGCTGAGATCTAAGGATCAGGGTTCAAAGCCAGCCAGGGTAGGAAAGGCCTTTGAGACTCATCCCTAATTAACCATCAGAAAACGGGAAGTGGCGCTGTGGCTCAAGTGGTAGAGCTCGGGCCTTGAGCTGAAGAGCTGAGGGACAGTGCCCAGGCCCAGAGTTCAAGCTCCATGACCGACAACAGAAAATACTCACCATGGAAGTCCTCACGGAAGGTGACGATGCACAGGCGTCGGGTCTTGCAGCAAGTGTCCATAGCATGGCCAAAGCCTGAAGAATCGGTCCTAGCTCAGAGGATTTGCAAAGCTGTGCTGGGCAGTGTGACGTCCCCACCTGGTGAAAGTCCAGACCCATGGGAGGTGCCATTCCAGCCCAGATCTCCACAAGCAGGGGGAGCCCTGAACCCTGACACCCCACCGTGGTACAGGAGCCACGGGTCTAAGGAGATGTTGTCAGATTGCTGCTTTGCCCTGGGCCTTCCAAGATGACCTCAGGGACATAGCATGTCACCCATAATGTAGTTTCTCATTTAAAGGACACACGTGTGGGTTGCTCAAGGGTATTTGGCAGCCTACATGATACTAATGCCTGGATTCTAGACCTGTCATACGGGCCTTTCCCTCCCGGCCTCTCCGGGTACCACGCTCCGCCCAGGTGCCAGGGCCTGGGAGAGGGGCGGGGTGGGCGGGGGCGTGGTCAGCTATCATAGCCACGCCCATCTCCGCTGTATCATCGCGGAGGGCGGGGCCAGGGCTGTCATTCAGGGTCATTGGCAGCTCTTGCTGCGCCCGCCCGCCTCGGTTCCCCGCCCGCCCGCTCGCCCGCCGGCTCCCCCCCTCCCCCCATCTCCCCCGGCCTGCATCCCGGTTTCTGTCTTTCTCTCCCCGCTGCTCCCGGGATCGTGAAGATGGCCACGGACGGGCTGCACGAGAACGAGACGCTGGCGTCGCTGAAGAGCGAGGCCGAGAGCCTCAAGGGCAAGCTGGAGGAGGAGCGGGCCAAGCTGCACGACGTGGAGCGTGAGTGGCGGGAACGGGGAGGGAGGTCACGGGGTCACGGAGCATCCCCCCCCTCCCGCCATGCAGGACCACCCCACCCCCGCCCCGGGCAAGGGGTACCGGGGTGCCGATGGCTGGTGGGCGCGGCCTAGGACGAACATGTCATCATCCCTGGGCGGTCTGTCCCCTTCCCCCACCCCCTCCTCGGGCGGTCTGTCCTTCCTGGCTTTGGCTTTTGCCAGATGGAGACTGGTTGAAGAGCTCGCGGCTGGGGGTGGAAAGCGGGGTGCACAGGCGCTGGATGGGGGGAAGGGCGATCCAAGAGCAAATGCACCCAGTTTGCTTTTTTGGGGGGTGGGGTGGGGGAGGCTGTTGGAGCAGCTTTGGGCTCCATGCGATGTCAGGTCCATTTAGATGATCCGCGGGGTGGGGAAGGAGGAGGCTGCCCACGCCATCAGCTTTGCCCACCCTCTCCCACGGCAGGGCGGCGGCTCCCCCCCCCCCCGGGCCCGGCCTACTCTGGGTACTCCTGGGCACAGGTCCTCATTACAAGTGGAAAAGAGCACATGGGGGGCAGGGGGGACTCCTAGCATTCGATTTCTTTGCAAATAACAAGACCTGAATCCAGCCTTCGGCTCCTCTCCCCTCCCCAGCTTGTATGATTTAGAAATGCATCTAGTTGTAAGTCACCATAAACCTCCACAGCCTATGAAGCCAACTGGGAGTTGGCTGTCTTACATAACAAGAGCAGGACAGCCGAGCCCCTGGCTGAGCTGCACTGGCTCACTCAGGAGGGACCTCGATCCTCTGCCTCCCTCCTTCCTGTCTCAGAGCCTGGGCATCGGCCCCATGACCACAGCAGGCTTGCCACAGCTCCTAAGGTTATCTCTGTATCCGAGGCGAGAAGAAGGAGGCATTTGTCTGTTTGCTTCCTTCTTATCAGGAAAGCGAGTTTTCCCACAACTTTCCCACACCCAAGATTGGTTGGTTTTGCGCTCTGTCAAGGCCAGAACTAAGGCTACGCGGCCCATTGCCAGGAAGCCTGGGAAAGGAAGCGCTCAAGAAGAGGGTATGGGGACTGAGAGGTGACTCTGAGCAACCGTCTCATTTCCCTTTGCAAATCTCTGCAGTCTGCAAGTATCCGTGCTGATACAGGAAGTGGGGTGTTAGTGTCTCTCTGCAGTAGGTCATCTGAGGAAACTGAGGCTGGAGATGAGGTTGAAGCACTTGGTGAAGGATTCCAGCTTATCTGCTGGGATTGCACCTGGCCCAGGGCCTCACCCACCAAAGGGAGTCCAGCAACTCCCTCCCCACACAGTCTGCATGAGGGGCATCTTCGTTCTTTTGTTGTTGTTATTGGTCATGGGTCTTGAACTCTGGGCTTGGGCGCTGTCCCTCAGCTCTTCAGCTCAAGGTGAGCGCTTGACCACTTGAGCCACAGTGCCACTTCCAGTTTTCTGGTGGTTAATTAGAGATAAGAGTCTCACGGACTTTCCTGGCTGGGCTGGCTTTGAACTGTGATCCTCAGATCTCAGCCTCTTGAGTAGCTAGGATGACAGGTGTGAGCCACCAGCACCCAGCCCTCACCCCTCCCCTCTTAGCTTCTTCACTTAAGGCTGCTGCTCTACCACTTGAGTCATGTCTCCACTTCTGGCTTTTTTTTTTCTTCTGGTTAAAGTGGGAGTGAGAGTCTCACAGACTTTTCTGCTCAGGCTGGTTTTGAAGCCCAACCCTCAGATTCCACCTTCCCGAGTAGCTAGGGTTACAGGCGTGAGTCATTGGTCCTGGCTCATGTCATTTATTCCTATTGAAGTATGGAGCACCATGTATGGGCAACCTCAGTGGGAGGATTTTAGAGCCCACAGGTCCCAAGTGTTCCTTTACCACCACGCTTAGTCATGGTAGCCTCTCCAGAAGAGGCAAGTGACTGACATACACAACGTACCCCGGCTGGTGTGCCACAGAGCCAGGCCTGAGCATCCGAGGCCAGAGTCAGGATCGCAACTACCCAGCTCCAGTCTCGATTTCTAAGGGAGCTCTGAACAAGGCAGCAGCTCTGAAATCCTGCCACTTACCATACAACAGGATTTCCTGACACGTTACTGTGCTAGTGGTAGAAACCAGTCGCTGTGACCATTTCTTTGTGCTACCCTATTTGAGGGATGATCTATCTATCTATTAGAAGGCAAAGGAGATGCCACATCTGTGCTGGGAGCCAAAATCCCTCAAAAACAAACAAAAAAAACCATGCAGAGCACAGTCAGCTCTTGCTGACATTTGTGTTCGGGGAATTCTTTGCGTCTGGGGCTGCAGAGGGAAACAGGATGCAGTAGGCTGGAGGAGAATCTGCCTGTTCATCGCTGAGACATCTTCACAGCCAATTTACATAAGGAAGGCTTTGATTTAGTCAGGGAGCCTTTTTTTAAAATAAATAAATAAATAAATAAATAAAAAGTAAAAAACAGGGACATGAAAAAGCTGTAGTTCTCCAAGGCCTGGGTGGCTCACGCCTGTAATCCTAGCCACTCAGAAGGCTGAGATCTGAGGATCCAGGTTCAGAGCCAACCCAGACACAAGAGTCTGGGACACTCTTATCTCCATGCACCAGCAAAAAGCCCGAAGTGGATAGCTGTGGTTCAAGTGGTTGAGCACCAGCCTTGTCCCCAGTCCTATACAAGGCATGGGAAACAGTTGGACCCAGTACCTGCTGCCAAGCATTATGGCCGTTGGGAGAGTGTTCTTAAAGCGAGCTTTCCCAGTAAGGAGAAAGTGGCAGAAACAAGGACAAAAGTCCCAGCCTGGCTCTTTGTAAGTGGAATGAACTTGGAGTCACCGGAGCCCCAGTGGGGTGAAGAGCAGTTCCCTCTAGCCACCTCTCAGAATTCTGTGCTGTGCTTGAGAAATACAAGGTGATCTTGGTAATCCTTTGGTCCCTGCAATAGAAAGTACTTGGGGAAAAAAAAATCCCTAAGCTCCTAACCACCAGCAGAGAATGGCTACTGACCTAAGAGTGCCTGCCAAGCGTAGGAGACCCAAGCAATGGCTCAGAGGCCCCTGGGCTCCTCCCGCTCCTCACTGGGCCAGCTGGGGGCTCCCAGCCTAGGCCTGGGTGCGAGAACTGATCTGGCATTGTCCTTCCAGTGCACCAGGTGGCAGAGCGGGTGGAGGCCCTGGGCCAGTTTGTCATGAAGACCAGAAGGACCCTTAAAGGCCACGGGAACAAAGTCCTGTGCATGGACTGGTGCAAGGACAAACGGAGAATCGTGAGCTCCTCGCAGGTACGCCCGGTTCTGATTGGCCACTTATTTATTGGGGGGGGGGCGGTTCTGGGAACGCCCCGCCTGCTCTGTGACCTGGGCAGGTTCTGATTGGCCGCTTATTTATTGGGGGGGGGGGTTGGTTCTGGGATTTGAATTCAAGACTTCACTCTAGCTGGGCTGGCACTCCATCACTTAAGCCACGCCCACCCACTATGCCCCCTTATATAAACTGGATGGCAAGTACATGCCACCATGCCCGGCTAATTTGTTCAGAGGGGAATCTCACTTAGCTCTTTTTCTAGGGCTAATCTCAAACCACCGTCTTCCTGATCACCACCTGAGTAGTTGAGATTATAGGCACAAACCACCATGCCTGGCTCAGAATCATTTCTTGCAGAGCATACTAAAAGGTATTACTTGTGATGAAACTTTTGAGTTTATTAAGCAGTGCTAGTGATTCAGCCCAGTGCCTTACCCATGCTAGCCACTTGAGGACAAGGTGGTTAAGATTCCACCAACCACTGGGCGCCCGTGGCTCACGCCTATAATCCTAGCTACTCAGGAGGTTGAGATCTGAGGATCACAGTTCAAAGCCAGCCCAGGCAGGAAAGTCCACGAGGGCTCTTATCTCCCATAAACTACTCACAGCATTGGAGGAAGTGGCGCCGTGGCTCAAGTGGTAGAGCACTAGCCTTGAGCAAAAAGCTCGGGATAGTGCCCAGGCCCAGAGTTCAAGCCCCAGGCAGGACTGGCAAAAAAAGAAGGGAGTCAGGCCTGCTCTGGGAATCAGGAAGGACTAGAAGACTCTGGAACAGACTTTGACTCATCTGCAGCCTTCTCTCTTCCAAGCAGATGAGTCACCCTCACAGAGTGGGCTTGGGGCTGTGGGCGGAAGCACAATCTTTCCAGGTACGCAGGCAGCTGCCATATATATCTGTGCAGGTGGAAGGATCACGTGTAGTTTGAAGAGATGCCAGAGTGGGGGAGGCGGGGGAGCATGGGGAACGGGCAGGCAGTAAGGCAGAGGAAGCTGCGGATGCATCGCTGAGACATTGCCCCTGTTCAGTGAGCAAGGGCTCAGGGTTACAGGGTTGGAGCTCCTCCTCTGCAAGCCTTACATAGGTAACACTATGTGTCAAGTTTAGCTATATAGTCAGAAATTAAGACCAACCAAGCACAGTCATAACTCATTCCTGTAACTTGGGAAGCAGAGCTTGGGAGGACTATCATTTGAGACTAACGTGGGCAAAATGTTAGACCCCTCTCAACCAATAAGTTAGATACAAGCCTGCCACCCGGCTAGAGGATTGTGGTCTAGACAGACCCCAGTCACAAATATGAGACCCTCCTCTAAAATAGAGCAGAAATAAAGGGCAAAGGACCTGGCTCAAGTGGTAGAGCACCTGCCTAGCAACTTTGAAGCCCTGAGTTCAAACCCAAGGACCACTAGGGGGGAAAAAAGAAAAAGTAGTTATCAGCCCTTATACCTATAATCCTAACTACTCAAGGGGCTGAGATCAAAGCCAGCCCAGTCAGACACACCTGAGAGACTCTTATTTCCAAACAACCAGCAAAAAGCCAGAAGTAAAGGTACAGCTCAAGTAGTAGATCTATCATCATCCTTCAGTAAAAATTGCCACCTGAGAGCACGAGGCCATGAGTTCAAGCCCCCATACTGCTCAGTAACTGCCTCTCAGTCTCCTTTCTCCAAGAATAGACGGGAGGTTGTTGAACCCAGGAACCCCGCTGCCTCTTCCCGTCCCACGCCCAGCTGGACACAGCTGTAGACCTCACAACAGTGAGGACAGCTTTCCAGCATTTGAGCTGTGTGCTGTCTTCTCTTCTTCCTACAGGATGGTAAGGTGATCGTGTGGGATTCCTTCACCACTAACAAGGTGAGACTCCAGCCTAGCTTCCGGATCCTCTTCCCCAGCTCCCCTTGGAATTGGTCACCCAACCACTAGGACTGGAAACCCCTCCACCCCCACCCCCACCCCCCAGGATCATTTATTCCTCCTTGGAGATAAAGTCCCCACCCTGAGCAGTACCTAGGGCCACCACAGAGGGCGCTAATTCACTACTTTGCGTCTGAGCCTTCACCAAAAGAACCAAAATCTCCAGATCTTGGTTCCAAGCCAGACCAGACAGAAAAGTCTGAGAGAATCTGCAATCAACCAGCAAAATGCTGGACTGGAGACACGGCTCCAGTGAGCTTCCAGCTGAGCAAACAAGCAATAAGTGGGAGGCCCTGAGTTCAAACCTCAGTTTTACAAAGAGAAACAAACTATTAACTCACATTAAGGAAGAAGTAAAAGCCAGGTGCTGGTGGCTCACACCTGTAATCCTAGCTACACAGGAGGCTGAGAGCTGAGGATCGCAGTTTGAAGCCAGCCCAGGTAGGAAAGTCTGGGAGACTCCTATCTCCAGTTAACTACCAGAAAACTAGAAGTGGCACCATGGCTCCAGTAGTAGAGCTTTTGCCTTGAGCTGAAGAGCTGAGGGACAGTGCCCAGGCCCAGAGTTCAAGCCCCATGACCAACAAAAGAAAGGAAGGAAAGAAGGAAGGAAGGGAGGAAGGGAGGGAGGGAGGGAAAAAAGTAAAATAATGTTTTTGTTTGGGGGGGATTTTTTTTGGTAGTGGAGTGGATGACGTAAAAGCTTGGTTATAATGAGGGACAAAGTCTCCTCCATCTAAAGCCCACCTTTATGCCTCCCCGCTTCCAATGTGGAGCTCCGCCATGGTCCATGTTTAGTCTGGTGCTTTGATTCTGCAAAAGTCAAGTGCTGGGACTTGGGTAGCCGTGTGTGTCGCTCACCTGGGCCGTGCTGTGTTGCAGGAGCACGCCGTCACCATGCCCTGCACGTGGGTCATGGCGTGTGCGTACGCCCCGTCAGGATGCGCCATCGCCTGCGGGTAAGCTGTCCACACCTCCCCTCAGTCATAGAACTCTGCACCAGTGGCCTAAAGCAGCAAACCCAGGGCAACTGGTCAGTTTTGTTTTGTTTTGTTTTTGGGTCCGGTCGTGGGGCCTGAACTCTGGGTCTGGGCGCTGTCCCTCAGCTCTTCAGCTCAAGGCTAGCGCTCTACCACTTGAGCCACAGCGCCACTTCTGGCTTTTTTTCTTTTTGCTTATGGGGTGCTGAGGAATCGAACCCAGGGCCTCATGCATGCGAGGCAAGCGCTCTACCACTGAGCCACCTTCCCAGCCCGCAACTGGTCAGTTTTTATTTACTTGTGAAACAAAATGTCCAGTTCCTCTCTGAGCCTCTTCCATCATTGTCTTCATTACAAAGTGACTAGCGTGTTCCATCCCCAGCATTCCTTATTATGCATGTGCAGATATTCTAAAATCCAACAATTCTGGACATCTGAAACACTTCTGGCCCCAAAGTCCCTCTAATACCAACAAGCACCACAATGCTCACCAAAACTTCAACATTTAGAAGCAATATCTCAAACTCAGAATTCATGACACTCTCTAGAACAGCTGACCAAGATCTCTTGTCCCGAACAGCATTGTTTGCCATAGCCAAGATATGGAATCAACTCAGATGCCCCTCAGTGGATGCATGGATCAAGGAAACATGGTGTATATACACAAGGGAATTCTACTCATTCGTCAGAATGATATTGGACCATTCGTAAGGAAATTGAAAGACTTGGAAAAAAATTATATTAAGCAAAATAAGCCAGACCCAAAGAAACAGTGGTTGCATTTGTGGTAACTAGAATGTGCCTATAAATCTACAAGTAAACACATTGGATGTTTAAAAAAATAAACTGGGACATGATACATTATTCATGTCTCTACATAGTCACATTGTGAGATCAAAGGAAGATATTCATAGGGGTGGATCACAAAGGTTCAATAGCTATGTGCAGATCATCATATAAAATACGGGGGGGGGGGGG